TGTACAAAGACAGAAAGAATCCAGCCTGCCACTGAAGATTTCCCCTTTCGAACCCTCTGACCTTCCCAAACCATTCCTCTCTTACGCTCCCCAATACCAACAGAAGTGGGCTCAATAAAATAGTCTGCTGTGCCCATATTTCTTATCCCCCCTCCAAAACAACAACAACAACAACAACATAGCTACTACTATCTGCATTCTGAAAGGACTTCCAGGCATACAAAAAAAATGGCTCCTTTACACGTTCCCCCAGGGAAGCTACAACAACAACAAAGAGGCAATGCAAGCTGCATACCTCAAAACAGAACAATCACTAAACCCGTCCCAAGCTTGCTGCTCATCCAATTGCAGTAATAGCCCAGTAACAAGATTTGCTGCCAGAGGAATTAATGAATCATTACTAAGAGTTCCTCTGTAGTCCCATTCTAATCTGCCCCTCCGCTGACAGGACACATTATTAGTGTAATGTTCCTGTTAAGTAACCTTTATCTAGAAAGCCTAACTGCTACTAATAGTGCCACAATCCTCCCATACACCTATCAACAATCGCAACAATTAACAACAATGTTCACTGCTGCAGTGCATGGGTTCCTGTCATACCATAAGAGGCAAGAGCAGCACTAGATACAATCAGATACAATTAGCATAATGTATATGGGAGAGAGTCAGTGGTAATTTTACTACCACAAACCTTATGAAACTATAGTTCCCTATTTAATTCTCCGGAACAGTAACACACAGTCACTTGGCCCAGAGGGGAAATACTTACTGGTAGCATTATCCTATAGGGATGCTGATGAGACTGATATGCTCTCCTAAGAAGGCTAAAGTAAAGGTAAAGGTTCCCTTGCTTGAAAGCCAGTCAAATCCGACTCTAGGGTTGCGGTGCTCATCTCCGTTTCAAAGCCGAAGAGCCAGCGCTGTCCGAAGACATTTCCGTGGTCATGTGGCCGGCATGACTAAACACCAAGGCTAAGGGAGCACCAAAAAGCACATACCTACAAGATGTCACTGTAAGAGTCTCCCACAATTTGCAAGACATTTGTGTATAATGAAGGGAACAGCCCTGGTGACTGCAACTTTGCATTAAGGCCACACTGAAGAAGCAGGCTGCTGATTTTGAAATACACAACCTCCCTGTCCTATCCCCTGGAAAGCAACTAGTAAAGGTAAAGGTTTCCTTGCTCGAAAGTCAGTCGAATCCGACTCTAGGGATGTGGTGCTCATCTCCGTTTCCAAGTCCAAAGACATTTCCATGGTCATGTGGCCAGCATGACTAGACACCGAGGTGCACAGAACACTGTTACCTTCCCACCGAAGTGGTACCTATTTATCTACTTGCAATTTCTTGCTTTTGAACTGCTAGGTTGGCAGGAGCTGGGACCAGAGACAGGAGCTCACTCCGTCATGTGGCACTCAGGTCTTGAACTGCTGAACTACCGACCTTCCAGTCTGCAGTTCAGTGTCTTAACCACTGACCCACCGCAGCCACGGAAAGCAGCTACCTTGTCTAAAAAGAGAGAGAGCGCTAGAAGAGACTAAAACCGAACACACGCAAGAGTAGAAACCAATGCTTATGAACCCTTTTGGCCTCCATGGCATCTGGCCTCCGTTGGCACGACTTACAATATCGTTTACCACAAGAAAAGAGGAACAAGCTGCCACTATGGACATAATATCCAAAAAAATATTTTTTGTGAGTATTTGTGTGTGTGTGTTTGTGTGTATGGCTGGAAGTCACGGTTGACTTCTGGCAACCCCTAGTGGGGCTTGGATGTTTCAGAGAGGTAGCTTGCTATTGCCTGCCTCTGCGCCCTGGCCCTGGTATTCCTTGGAGATCTCCCATCCAAGTACTTGCCAGGGTCAGCCCTACTTAGCTTCCGAGATCTGGCTTGCCTGGGTTATCCAGGTCAAGGCAACATCCAAGAGTTTCTGACCCATCCCATTGCTGTTTCCAAAACTTTATCCACCTGCTTCAGAAACTCAAGATATGGAGCCCAAAATTAATAGAGGATACCGGAAGAGAACAACAAATGTCGGGTGCCAGGGGCACCTCTACATACCAAGAGACTTACAGCCATATGCACAGTTAACGTCTGCTACTCAGAACTTATTGTCCTCTCCTGAAGTCTGCGAATTGGTTTCCTGTCACATTCCACTTTAATTCATCTAGTCATCTCATAAGGCTCTCCTCCTCCTTGATCTAGCTTCCTGCTCTGTGGTCCCCCACACTTGTATCTGCTATGGGCTCTCTTTGTTCCTTTCACCCATTTACATTCTTGCTATCCTCCTTTCTCTCTCTGACAAAATTGCTTTTTGAAGAAAAGTCTTTACATGACCAATACGTACCAATCATTACCCTTACTTCATCAAGCCTCAGTTGCTACTTCCACATTTTAACCTGATCCATCTCACTCTGACACATACTCGACCCTACGATACAGATTAGCTACTCTTCGATTAATTTTACATACTTATTTGTACTCACAATGAGGACGCTTTGTAAGAGTGGTCAGCAAGAAACTTAACACATTCAGTGGGTGGAGTGACAGCTCCAATTCACTAGCTGATGTGGCCATACAACCAGCAGGTGGTAACCTTTTAAATTAATTAATCCAAAATTAAGATAAGATCTTGTGTGTGTATCAACAGCCCGATCATCACCTCTGGTCACAGACATACCCAACGCAGGTTCTGCATAATAAATTCCACACTACACATTCCCATTAGAAATTAACTTGGGACTTGGAAGTATTTTTTCCAGCCCTAATCACAGCGTTATATGTGTAAATGACCTGGGATTGTCCAAGCCCTGCCTCAGACACTGTACTGGCTCTGCAGGTGATCAATCCTGTGCAAATAGTACGCCAGCTCGCAACTGCTACCCCCAAAGCACAAAGCCTTACCTTTCTTCGAGTCACTGCCCACTGGCCTCTCGCCTTCCTTACTCTCCTGATTGGCTCGGTCTTTCTGCTTCTTCTTATTAGTTGCATCCTCTGCTCCCCGTGCTGTTCTCCTCTGGCCAGGGATGCTGGCACTGCTGGACATCTTCAGCCGTTTGGATGAGACAAACGGCCCGCCGGGGTCAGTGACGGAGTCTGGGTCAGGGGTGCGACGCTTTCTTCCCGGACCAGCTATCTTGGCGACTCTTTGTGGTCAATCCCTCTGGCAAGGAACAAAAATGCCCTGGGAGCAAACGGAGGGAAGCATAAGGATGGCAGCAGAAGAAGAGACAAAGCTCTTTGCTTGTAGTTTTACTAAAGCTAACTGAAAAAAAGTGTTGTGGTGTACTCTGCTCAACAGGAATAGCAAACGTCTACCAGACAGGCCAAGCAAGCAAGCAAGCAGTATATGTTCCTGGGCCTACTAAACTGGAAGGGACAGAATTGCCCAATCAGGCTTTGCTCACTTTAGAAACGCCACTGAAAACAAGAATGTCAAGATGGAAGCTTTATTTTATAGCCTTGCGCGATGTGCCCAAGGACAAAATGGCAGCCTGAGCCAGCGAGTTCTTGCCCGACACAGAAAGCTGCCCCGCTGAAGGGTTAGCAGAACAAACAAGTAGCTCTGCCTAGAACAGGAGTGCTGTTATTCAATCCACCCACATTACAAGGTGCAGCTTAGCCTAAAGCTGTTGGGTTCTTGTGCAGGATGCTACTGCCACCGCTGCCTCAGAAATCAACATGAGCTCTAAATGGGGGTGGGATGCCAACAAAGCCCCCCTGAAGTTACAGAGAGCCCTCGGCACCCTCTAAATTCTGACAGTACTCTTCAGCTACTTGCCCCTGTGAGCGCCATGCATTCGAGAGGCTAGTTGCTCCTTAAAATATTCATCATTGTGACGCTGAAAGGCAGTAGAAGCAGCTCCCTCAAGAGGTAATCAGAGACACCCAAGCCCAGCACAGGCCTCCTGCTGCACTCTGGGCAGAGGCTGGCCAGCACCTTCTCCTGCCAGAACCTCCATGGGTATGACCTCACTTGGCCCAGGCTCCCAATAGCCAAGGGTCAATTTCACTCTCCAGCAGCCGATCTTAACCAGGAAGGGTTTAGACCCACCGTGGGGTAGAAAGCTTTTTATTTTTCAGATTTATATTCTTGCCAGTTCAGCACCAGAGAGTTCTCAATGCGGCTGTCTCTCAATTTGCTCTCGCACTTCTCTGCAGCTATTGCCAGGAGACAAAGCCTGGGAACCTTTACTTGGAACAGCCACCCAAGCTCAAGCAGGGTTCTCTCAAGGACAATAGCCACCTACCCAAAGATCTGATACGTCTCTGAACTCAAGGGAACAGGAGTGATTTGAGCACACTAGACACTGACTGAACGTGACACAGACTAGAAAGGCTCTCACTTCCAACAAACATTTGAAGCCTCACTAAAGAAACCTGGCTTCTGAAGTTAAGCGAACAGGTATACACACTCTCCAGAGACATGTGTTGTTAACAAGTCCCGTTACTCAAAAGGTGTCCGAAAAAGTGAGCAGTGACTCACGAAAGCTCATATGCTGCCACAAATTTTAGTCCTGAAGGTGCTACTGGATTTTTGCTCTTGTCTACTGCTACAGACAGACTAACACAGCTATCCATTGTGTTCCTCAAAAGGCAAGCTCCTGAGCCCCACTGAGGCTCTCCCACCAATTCACTGAGCCAGTGCTGCTTCTCCTTCCGTCACCAGGGCCATTATACTGCACTGTTCCTGGTGGATATCCGTGGGCCAAGCAAGAGGGAGGGGAGCTACAGAAAAACAAGCAATGGGTTCAATCTGACATCAAAACACACTAAGTCGATGCAACAATAATTATATAGAAACTAAAGTCAACAATCATACCAAACTCATATATTTTATAACGAAATCGTCAATGTTATAAAGAGCAATTATCAAAAAGTGGGTGGAAACAAACTCAAACCCACAATAAGTCACAGCACCTCTCCAAAGCAGCAGACTTCCTTCATTAACAGAACAAGCACACAAAAGAAAAGAATGGCTTATATAAATTTCATAAGCCCTTGAATTGAAGTCCAAACATCTATATATTGTGGCTGGTAGATAATAAGATCTGTCCCAAATGAAACTACACAGTTTCTGATAGTCAGTGTTTCAGACCTGTTACTTTGTCAGTTAAATCAAGTAAGTCTTCTGTGACATACAGTAAATATACATGTACAAGTGAGGTCCCAATCAAAATATTTCTATTAGGATCAGCTCCATATCTCTTACAAGCTGGAAACACTTCTCCTCTCAGGTCCAAAATGATGACTATCCAGAACTGTGTTTTCATTTGGGATGGATCTTATTTTCTACAAGCCACAATATATGGATGTTTGGACTTCAATTCAAGGACTTGTGACATTTATATAAGCAATTCTTTTCTTTTGTGTGCTTGCTCTGTTAATGAAGGAAGTCTACTGCTTTGGAGATGTGCTGTGACTTAATGTGGGTTTGATTCCGTTACCATCTACTTTTTGATAATTGCTCTTTGTAAACATTGATGATTCCACTATAATATCTATGAGGTTGGTATGATTATTGACTTTGGTTTCTATATAATTATGTTAAGAACATAAGAGATGCCAGTGTTTACAGATTGTTTTGTGATCCCACTGGATATCCATGGGCATCAGCCTATTTGGTCATTACTCTGAATGTGTAACATACTAAGGAATTTAACAGTCAGGACAGGGACACGCACTAGATGCAACTACCTCAGGATAGCAAACCCTAGAGTGGAGACTAGCCACCAGTCATAACAATACTGTGCCAAACTTTCCACAAATTAAGAGCAGGCCACCACACACAGTCCATTTTTCCACAATGATACATCTTGGCAGTCTGGTACCCCAAAGATTAACACTACTAAACCATGCATCTTCCAACATTTCAGGAATGCGTGGCATTCAGAAGAGCCTGTCATCAAGAAGATTTCTGGGATGTTGCAACCAAGGCCTAGTCAATGCAGCCAATGGACCAAACACAAATGAGATAATTCCCTGATACAAGTTAAAGGAAGCTCCCTGGAGCGCCCTAATTGGCTTCAGCAAGTGAAAGGACACTGTATGTAACAAGCCCAAACTACTCCCCAACAAGGAGTTCGTGACTCAGGGCTAGGCACGCCACACAAAACAATGGGATCCAAAGATGCAGAAGAAAGGGAGTGGGAAAAACCTCTCCGGGTCTGAGCACAAGAGGGCGCTGCAGGCTGAAACTGGGGCTCAACCTCACTGCACCCCTTCCCCAATCACAAAGCCTGGGACTGTACTAGCAGTAAAAGGAAGCAAGGACTGGCATCTGGCTTTTAATGGTCAACTCAGATCTCCTGACTAAATGCAGCAGAGACTTCAAAAAGCAGCAGCAGTTCTGGAAAAGGAGTGGAAAGGAAAGATCGAGAGCTTCGGCCAGGACCATTAACCCAGCTCTTCTACTTCATCTAAGCCAGACATCAGAAGCTTCAGAATGTGTACCAACCAGGATGAGCCCAATGTTTTGATATCCAGCAGTTATAACAGAATGTGAAACCAACCAGCCCAATGTTTTGATATCCAGCAGTTATGCATGGCTGCTACTGCTTCCTCTTGAATTCCATTACCTCAGAGAGAATGGTAGCCCCACAGAGCTGTGTCACCCATTCAGATGACCCTCCACCACATACCTGGAACAATTTTGGGTTGCCGCAGCGGCCACTTTGCCAGTGAGCTCAGAAGGCCCATGTTCTAGAATGCTTTAGGTGCTAAAATACAACCAGGAAATGCCAATTTTTACCTTTGACAAATCCTCTCCCCTCCCCTCTGTATTCCCTCTCCTCCTTAAGAGTCTCACTGAAGGAAATCCAAACATTGCATAGCTCAGTGCCTGCCAAGAAAGGACCATCCTGCCACAGATAAGCCTCAGAAATCCAGACCACCAAGCCACAGTGAGAAAAATGGGTTGTGCCACAAAGGGGTCTGCAGAGCAAACACTGCCAGACTTCACTCAGGCAAGCCAAGCCGCATACTGCAAAAGAAGGCAAGAAATACAACAAGAACAGAAACCAAGTCCCTACTCCATCTGAATACAATACCTTCCTCTCAATACAGCAATCTGAGAGCAATCTGTCAGAAGCCCAAGTGATGTGGCATTTATGTTATTGGGGTACACAATAGACTTGTTTCTTTTAAAGAAAGAATGAGAGATCCTTAACAGAAAAAACACGAGAGATGCACTCTAAGCATCTGAACTCCATTCAGTCTGTTGTGGCAGGCATTCTTCGCCCCTTCTAGCTGGAGCAACCCAATACACACAGGAACATTCAGCACCCTGCTCTCCTTCATTCCCTTTGCTTTTAAAAAGCATGTGAACCAATGTATACATTAATGTGACAGGGAGTTCTGCCCAGCATCCAATCAACAGGTCTTCGGTTGTGAAAGATCCCATAGCCTGTCTATCTGTACACAAAGGGAGCCAAGTGAGGCAGGGCAGAGAACAAGATTAGAAAGAGAAAAGAGGTGGGAGAGAGCAGAAGTGTAAACGTTCTTCCTGACCTGCCTCCAATGCATCTACTTATTAAGGGAATCCAGCTCTGCTTTATTGTCATTTTATTACTGGCTTTAGTTTATTACACTGTCAACTATGACCTTGCAAGCCACTTTGAACTAAATTAAGACAGCAGGATATAATCATTTCCCCCCCAAAAAAATTACACCAGCAAGGGTCGTCATTATGATGGAAAATAAATTCAGTAAAAGCAGCCATTTAAAGGACAGAAAAGGAAAGAAAGCATTAAGCAGCCAGTTGTATCCATCAACGCTGACAAAAGTCAATTTTTGAAACATCATTCATTTGCTCAAAAGCATGGCATGTGCAACAACATCCATGATGTACCACAAACATCCTTTGTGCGGGTTTACAGGTACAGAGAACAAAGCTTAACACATGGCAATTTTAGAACACTGGCCCACCATGCAGATTTATGCTAAGCATTACTGACATAATGGATGAGAAATGTTTATACAAAACAAAGGATAATTAATTGCTTCCAGATGACTAAATTTGTTCCAAACAGACTTTTTAAAAAAACTTTATTTATATCCGACCTTTCTCCCCAATGGAGACCCAGAGTGGCTAACATCATTCTCCACTCTGTTTTATCCTCACAACAACTCCGTGAGATAGGTTAGGCTAAGAGTACTTGACTGACCAGAGATCACCCAGCAAGCTTCCATGGCACGAGCTGGTATTTGAACCTGGATTTCCCAGATCCTAGTCCAACACTTTAACCACTGCACCACACTGGCTCTACGTCTCTATGCTGACTGCAGGTAACAACAAAACTTATACCACCCGAAAAGGTACATGCACCCCTACCACAGCACCCTTTCAGAATGGCTTGCAATCTCTGATAAGCAACTCAATTTCAATGTGAACTGAAAATTCATTTAGTTCCTATAGCACAATTCATTATCACAGGTTCTTCCAGGCATCTGGTTGGCCTCCAGTTCAACTCATGCCATGGCACATGGTTGCACTATGCTATTTTCAGAGTGCTGACTTAACCAAGCTCTTGACTGCCCACAATTCAGGATCTCTCCCTCACTTCTCAGCACTTGGCCTACCCCACATGCCACAATAATCTCTACTGCCTGCTCCTAGAGACCTTTATTTGGGAGGAGCAGCAGAGGCTACATACATCTCCATCCCTGCTCCTCTTCCCGTAAGCCAGACATCATCCACAGCCTAAAAAAGTCACACTGCCAGCCTGTTACACTTCATCCCATGCACCTGAGAAAAGGCTCCTATGACGGCCCAAATCAATTGCAAACATATTCGCTGGCACGTTCCGACAAGCGCAATCTCTGCCAACGCATCTTTATGTGCCCATCTACACAGAAAGACACGGGAAGGGGGAGGAGGATGCCGTAAGCGGTCAAACCCCGGGGTGAAGCACAAAGAGGCACAAGCATGCCGTGCAAGGAAACAGTGTTGCAGCAACAGGAATTCTACCATGTTCTAACGCCGAGCCCTGGCAGCCACTACGACTCTTTTGTGCAAAAGAGGCACGAAGTTCCCAAACCAAAGGAGGGCAACAGATACACAGTGACAGTTGGCTCAAAGCCAGGCGGTCATACACACCGCGGGCGCCCGGGGCGGGGTGGCTCTCCTACACGCCCACGCCAGGGAACGGGGCAGCTGAACCCTCGTCCGCATGAAGCCCGCCCCCAGCACTCTGACCCCC